CCCCCCAAGGGCACTTACAGATCCACCCGAGCTCTAAAACAAGTCACAGGAACCCGTGTTCCGCCCCCCCTCCACACACACACCTTGTCCAGCTGGCTCCTGAGACCTCCCAGCAGCCGCCTTGCCCCGCCCTCCTGCAGCGAGTAAAACTCGCTGCCATCGAGTAGGATCCGACTCATAGCTACCCCTCCTTGGGTTTCCGAGGCAGTGTCACTACGGAAATGGATTGGCCAACCTTCCTTCCGAAAGAGTGACTGGTGGAGAATGACTGGAGGGTTTGAACCGCCAGCCTTCTCGTTAGCAGTCAAATGCCTTAGGCACTAAGCCACCAGAGCTTCCCCAGCAGCGAGTAACCGGATTTATTTGTATATATCTTTGGGACCCAGAGGTCGAAAGTTCATTTCCTGGAGCGGTTCCCTCCAGGGATCTCTGGTGCCAGGTGTTGTGATATGTGACCACTTTCATCCCTGCTGTGTAAAGCACTCACATGACGCCGCCCCTTCCTCAGAAAAGTAGCTGTGATCTTCAGTCTCCATCTGTTTCATGCACCCCAAGCCAGTTTATAACAAGCCCGCAAAACCTTTGTGGCACTCACCTTCCGGGAGAGCCGTGGTACCCGAGGCCCTTTCCTAAACTCTCTCTTCTATGGCAACTACACTGAATGCCGTGCACATGCAGCAGTTTTCAAATTCGTGAAAATCATAAAGCATCGGATTTACATACTGCAACATATGTATCCATATTGATGGTGGTTTTCACCCATGTAACAACTGAACATCTTTGCCACAACTGACTTACTCTCAGAGCAATCCTTTTTGGCTGCGCTTTGTAGCTGAAGACCCGGAACCAGAGAGGCTAAGTAATTGTCCATGGTCCCAAGACTGTTAACAAAGAGCTTTTGAGCTTCCTGACTCCTGATTTTCCTGCCAAAACACCACCTGATTTCTTTCTAGTCCTCTCTCCTGCCTCCTAACACAGCATTGTAATACATGGTGTATTTGGAGGCACTAACTCCCATCAATAATTAAATTTTCTGAAATGTGGTTGTTGAGTGCCATGGAGTCCGCTCCCACTCAGTGACCCTATGTATGTACAATAGAAATAGCTTCTGAAGTGTGTTGCGGAGTATTGAGATAAACGGCCAACCTGGGTTAATCTTTCTGCTACACATTGGGGCAGCAAAAAGTTTGCCGTTTGTGTGAATGTTTGCTTTTATCAAATATATGTCCCGGGTCTGCTGGCAGAAACTGGGTTGGTTAGAAAGCAGCAAACAGAGAAGGTAGGAAAAAAGGAATTCAAGAATGCTATGTCACAAATGGTCTCTGAGGAAACAGTTCCAGGAATGTCCTGTACCACTTAGCCCCCTCAAGGCCAGCTTATTTTTGGTAGCAGAGTGGCAGACAGGACCCACATTTAAAAAACAATAGTCCATTAGTGCCTTGTGAACTGATCCCATTGAAGAAATGTGGTTGTAGGTATGTTTTATTTCCAGTCTTCGCCTGTGGAAATGATGGTGCATGAGTCTGTATATTGCCACAGTCTTAAGGTAATCGTGAGTCTTGATCATAAGTTCCTGAGTTAAAAAGTGTCTAAATTTGCACAGAATTCCATAAATAATGCAATCTATGACCAGTTAATTCCTAACCAGGTGTGATAAAATATATTATTGTTTTAAGGACAACATAAAAGCTGAAGGTTCTATATAAACAATGAAGAATGATTCAGACAGCAAAGTAGCCTGGATAAAAGAGGAAAGTGCCACAATGCTAAATGTGTCCTCTCCGTTCACAGGCTCTGAAAAATAAATAACTAAGGTAGGAGAAAATTAATTTCCTTGATATGCTGGGTAATCACATAAAAACATTCTTTCCCAGCTCTGATGACCTCCTCCTTGAGAAAGGGGAACTTGTGTATTATCTTCAGTTACCCCAGAGAATTATCAGTGGATCAAAGGAAAACATCACCTTTATAACTTGGACTACCTCCTCTGTCATCAAAATACAGAATACCTAGGGATACAGAAAGGATGAATCAAGTAACTGCTCACACCCAAGTGGAAGAGGTGATGGAGACACAGACGTCAGATAAAGACTGGCAGGGCACCAGCACCCACTGACAGCCCATGCGTAAAAGCCCAGGCGTCTGCCAAGAGAAACATGAATGAGGGCAGAGGCAAGTCCATCAATTGGCGCAAATACTGAAGGCCTGTCAAACCTGCTTCAACCTTTATAAATGAAACAAAATATATAAATAATCCAACAAATGCTTCGAAAGTGTTCAATCTTATGTCCCCATCCCCACTTCCCATCCCCCTACACACACAGACACACACACACACACACACACAAAACATTGCTCTCAAACCCATAGCTGCCCTTCAGGACAGAGTAGAACTGCCCATGAGGTTTTCAAGCTTGTAATCGGTAGAAGCAGACTGCCGGATCTATCTCCTGAGAAGCAGCTGGAAGAGTTGAACTGCTGACCTTTCGGTTAGCAGCTGAGCACTTACCCACTGTGTCACCACAGCTCTTTCACAGACACACACAAGTAAAAAATAAAAGGAGTGTTTCATTATGAGGGTACAAACCCATTAGGTACCAGGAGTTTCTTGAGTTGAATCCAAGGATGTGGGAGAAGGGGAAGGAACCCAGGCAGTATATCCCACAAAGCCGTAGTGATATTAACAGATAGCCTCCTTTAACTTCTCTGATGACCGGATCCCAGAGGTGTCCCCTGGAGTCACCTTTGTTATTGTTGTTATGTGCCCTGGAGGAGTCACCTAGAGATGTTAAAAAAAAAAAAAAAAAAAACACCTCACTGCTGTCCAGTCAGATCTGACTCATAGCCACCCCTCCTTGGGTTTCCAAGGCCATATCGCTTTAGTAGTAGATTGCCCAACCTTCCTTCCAGGGAGTGGCTGGTGGATTTGAACCGCCAGCCTTCTGGTTAGCAGTCAAAAGCCTTAGGCACTATGCCACCAGAAAATAATCTAGGCTACACTGGGTCAGAGTGGTTTCAGAATGACCCTCAAGCTGTATTTTAGGTGTGATGACTTTCATCTGCCCTCCAAACAACAGAATATTTAACCTGTAGAAGAGCTTTTCAATTCCTTTCAGTTTAGCTCTTAGAGATGTTCCAAAATTATCCAGTGGCTGCCTTTGGGAGTCACTAATTTGCCTCTGTGACCACTGATGACAATACAAGATAACCAAAAACCAGAAAACCAAACTCACTGCCATCGAGTCGATCCTGACTCATAGCGACCCCTCCTTGGGTTTCTGAGGCAATATCTCTACAGAAGTAGATTGCAATCTTCCTTCCAAGGAGGGGCTGGTGGGTTTGAATCACCAGCCTTCTGCTTAGTAGTCAAATGTCTTGGGAACTATACCACCAGAGCTCCCACAATAAAAGATGTGGTGGTGCTGGTTATGTGCCGTTGAGTCGGACCCGACTCATAGGGACCCCTCCTTGGGTTTCTGAGGCAGTATCACTACGGAAGTAGATTGCCCAACCTTCCTTCCGAGGAGTGGCTGGTGAGTTTGAACCACCAGGCTTCTGGTTAGCAATCAAGTGCCTTAGGCACTATGCTACCAGAGCACCTACAATACAAGATAGATGACTTCAAATATCTAAGGGAAAAATTAAGAACTCTTAAGTAGTATTGTGGAGTACCAAGGTACTGTGGGTAGGTGGGAGGGTGTTTTTTTGGGAGGATAATTAAGAGCAGTCTGTGGACTTGTG